TTGTGTGCATTGATTCATTAATTAGACCTGTGCTTCTGCTTTGTTTCAAAGTTGGTGATGACACTAAATGCTTTGTTTTTTCTATCTAACTTCTCTTGTTTGTCCATTCTGTTACATTATTGTCTTTAATTCTGTCTTATAGCAAAATCTGTTGCAAATCAAGACCTTCCCGCATGCTTAATGAAACAAAAGAGTTATCGATTAATAAAAATTCCTAGGTTCGTGCTGAGCATCCGGACAGTCAGTTATGGGATATTGGCAAAATTATTGGGCATATGTGGCGTGATGCTCCTGAATCTGAAAAATTAGCTTATCAGCAGGTAACTGTCACGTTCTTAAAACCAGTAGGCCTTTATTGTTTTTTCCTATTTACGATTGTTTCTCAGCTTTTCCCTTTTTAAAGAAAAGAGCCATGCTGGAAGGTCGATAGGTGGAAAAAAGAAATGATTTTTTGGTTACATTTGCACCGTTAGCTAATGTTCGTCTAATGTTAATGCTTGGATGGATGAAAATAATTGTTTGCATGCAAATTTCTTTGTTTCCTACTTACCTTATTTGTATATTCTAGGAATATGAAATCGAAAAGGCTGAGTATGAGAAAGCTCTAAAGGCTTATCATAATTCTGCAGCTTATCAGCAGTATCTCTCAGCAAAAAACAGAGCGAAAATGGCAGATAAGTCTGGAACTGTTGGAAGTGTGATTGCTAGTAAGTTTTCTCGTAATTTGCAAGTGTACATTTATTTAGTGGTTGCTCTTTTTATTTTGCATGTGTTTAGACTCTCGAGGGCGTTTAGAAAGTGGTGGGGTTGTTATACAACCGGCTGAAGACGACGAACCTTCAGATCTTTCTTCTAGACGCGTAGCAGCTATAAGGTTTGCAGAGAAACTTGAGTCGAATCATTGCTGGCTTCAGTTTTGACGGTTTACCAATCAATAGCATTTTTTTGTGTTACAGGTTTGATAGAAACCATAGGTTAATTGCTGACCTCTTCAATGGAAGTGTGGTGACGGACACGCGCACCATAGTTGTACAAAATCGGATTGATATGTTGAAGAAGCAAGCTAATTCTTTATCGACTCATCAGGTATTGAATGCTGATAAGGTTTTTAATTTATGCGTCTTTTCACATTTTAGAAGGCAGGAAATAGGATTTGTTTTTCTCAGAGTAAACTGGAAGAAGAGTTGAAAAATCTTGAAACGACATTTAATGAAAAAAAACGTCAAATGGAGACATCGTCTGACGAATTTGCTGCGAGGCTGAAAAAAGTTTGTGAGGAAAGACCGCAGGTTAGTTACTCCTGAGCAGTAGACGTTTGTGTCTGCTATGGTTTGATTTGCCATGATTTATTTTGTAATGAATCTGAAAAGTTTTCATAATTTTAATTTTCTTGATTTTGTTTCGCTTGAAGGTCAGGTCTTTTTAGATTGATGAAGCGAAATATTTGCAAATGACAGAAGAGTGGGAAAAAAAACTGTTGAAAGCATACAAAGAAATAACAGCGAAGGAAGAGGAAAGGAAAAAGCGCCAAAGTATTTTTTTTAACTTCTCATCACATTATTTTCTTATGCGTGCATTTGCTAAGCCCGTTCTTGATTTAGTAGTGGAAAGGGAGCAGCTGGCTGAAGAAACTCCTATTCTCTACAGTCTAACTGTTGGTGAATCATCGCCTTCGCCGAAGAACAAAGGTAAGGAACCTGCATCTCCTGTGGTGACACCAGCTCCAGCTGAAGAGGAGAAGAAAGTTGAAGAGAGTAAGCCGGAACCTATGGAAACTGATACAAAAACAGACCCTCCACCAGCGCCCGCGCCTGCACCAGAACCGACTAAAGAGGAAGAACCTCAAACTAGCACGCCGGAGCCTGCTGCTATGGAACCACCGACATCACAGGCTTAATGGTCACCGTTTGTTAAGTGTATGTATATATGAAATTTTATATGTATGTATATATGTTCGTTATACCAGTTGTTTTTTTTTTTTTT